TCGCCGCACCCCTGTCGAAAAAAAAAAAACGGTTGCGAGAACCTAGGTCAATACTCTTGTTGTTGTCCCCAAGGGGAGAAACACGCGCCACCTTTTTATGCGCGTGTTCTTCTTGAACAACCGTACTCAACTCAAGCCAAAACTCTCCTCAGAGAAATGTGGCTTCAATAATTTGTAGCCCGAAAAAAAATCGGGGAGGAAACGGAAGCTGCACAACGCCTAAAACGAAGGGGCTTACGAATCTTGTCGGACAGCGAGCGGTGTCGCATTCTTCAAGCGCGTTTTCAGGTGCAAAACCCGAACCTCTTCATACGGGCTTGTTGAAAAACCAAAAGCATGAGACAACATGGAAAACTGCATCATGTGTCACAAGACCTTCACTGGTCTTGTACAAATTGCCAAGCATACCTACAGCGACCGCGTCCCCTCACAGAGGGGCCACTACTGTCGTAGCGTCACCATTGGCGGACCACGCTGTGCGGTACTGCTGCGTGGCACCTTACCCCAGCTTGAATCGTCGAGCCGCAATGGCACCCAATAGGCCAACATGGAGACCGTTGCATCAAGGCTAGCTAGGCCTTCCGATGGACAACGTGGACTACTATACCTAAGCCACGCCAAATGAATGATCCCTCTTGGCCATGCATTCATCGATATTTCCAGCAAGATCACCCCTGCCTTAGGGTTAGGGATAGGATTCCGGTTGGCGTTACCTCGCCTATGAGTAGAAGCGTCAGCAACCCCGCCTTCCGGCGACGCCAGTTGGTCGCGTCCCCCAGCAACTCGGAGCACACGGGCATGGCCGACGAGAGGACAGCTTTGCCTCCCAAGGCCACCGCCATCCTGCCGGCAACCAACAGCGGGGGGAAAGAAGGGGGGGGAAACCCATGCCGTAGTCGTTAGGCCATTGTCCTCGCATCCCTACAACGCCGGGACGGAGCGATATGCTGGGTTTTCGCCGGCCCACGCTACGTTTCACAAGGATGCACCAGGAGCTGGTCATCGTCCTTTTGCGACTGCTGTTGCAGCGGGGAAAGGGGGTTGGGGTTTCGTTGTCGGTAGAGCAAGCGTCATCACCGCTGAGAACACAATCGGGTGGAGTCTAACAACTCCCGGCGTCGACAAGAAGAGAAGAGATTGTTTTCAGAACCATGGCGCGTTTGAAATTTCTAGGGGGGGGTGCCCCGTGGTATCGGAAATACATGGGGTGCGTCAAATCTGTCAAAGACGCCTCCCCGCGTTAAAGACGCTATTGAAACAAACCAAAGTACATGTGCGTCTATAGATCGGGGACGATGACCGTATGCATTCCTGAACAAAAGGGAGAGGGGCTCGCCCGTGTAGCCCACGGGGGTAACGAGACCTCCAAGACCTCCAAACACCGGCAACATCGGCAAAAAACAACAAAAACACCCACTGGCAAACAACGAATGGTCGCCATCGCAAGACAAGCACTACCCCAAAACACCGACAACATCAGCAGGGCACGATGACCAAAAAACGATGTCAGATACACTGATGGTACCTGCTGAGGGCGCTCGCCGCGATCATGCTCAGCTCGCCCCCTTCTGCGTCTGCGTCTTCGTCCCCCCTCCCGTTGCCACCAGACATAGACAGCCACGACCCTAGCTCCTCTTCGTCGTCGAAATCTGCTAGTAAATAGGCGGGCATATGACCGTTGGGTGTACAGCGACGGTTCGAAAATGACGGTTGGACAGTATCGTGCGATCGTTCTGTTGGTGAGACCGTTGGATGTCCAAAGACGGTTCGAAACTGATGGTTGCACATCGCAACACTGCTGTTGTTTCGTAGTTGACCGTTGGGTGCCAGATGGGACCGTTTGATGTAAGATGACTGTTGGATGTCAAAAAGAGACCGTTGGGTATTTCCTTGGCCGGTTGGATTTGCCGACCTGGGACCCAGAAACGCAGAAGCACGTCATTACCGCCAGATGGAACTTTGGTGGCAAGAACAGTTATATTCAAAACACTTCGCTCCCCAACAAGGCCATGGACGAGACGACAGCAACGACAGCCGGGAGACCGTCATCCTCCGGGCACCAAAAAAACAACCACGCACGAAAAGAAACAACCAAACAAAAAGTCGCGTAGACAGAAGAAACGACGCTTGTATTTTTGGCATCCTTAGCAGGGACCATGTGTAGTGACACCCTTCGCGACGGCATAATGGCTTCATCACTGGCGCCCGCACATAAGAACCTCTACATGTACCTGTAGTGTTGGCTGAGGCAGGAGGTTCTTAGTTCTAAGGGTTGCGCTACGAACGGCCGCTATATAGATTGAAGGGTGGGGCTCCTTAACCGACTTCACCATGAACGGTGCCCATGCTTCTCAGATTGCGAGTTTGTCGAGGCTCCATTTCTTTTGTTTTCTTAATATGACACAACGAATCCATCTCTATCATAGAAAAGAGTCTGAGACAGATTATTTAACAGCCAAATTCCCACGTGCGAGCGCAAACAGTACACGCGCCCCCCCCCGGCACGAGAACCAAGAGACACAGCCAGCCAGCGCGACGCACGCCCAAAACAACAAAAATAGATGAGCCCACACGTACCTTGAGGAGGCTGTGCCAGCATGTTGATCGTCAGCGGCACCGCAACGTTCACCACGGTCGCCCCTCGCTCCCGCAGGACCGACGGAGCGCACTCGCATAGTCCCGTGAAGACCTCAAGCGACAGCTCCCGGGTGGAAGTCTAGGAAACACAGACAGACAAACGTGTTTTGGCGTGGATCTCTCAGTCAGAGAGACTCATTTGGGAAAACGGCTCGAAAAGGGCAGTCGGTCAAAGCTGCCAGCAGGGGCTGTTTATCGGACAACGGCTCGAGATGGGCAGCCCGTCTCAAGCGCCAACTAGTGCTTTTTTGCCCAACCTAAGACAGGAAGCAGGCCGAAAAGGGCAATCCGTCTTACAGACGCCAACAACTTCAGACCGGGCATCGATCGCGTGGGGGTCTATCCCGGGGCCGAGGTCGTGCGCGGAGACGAAGAATCTGTCAAGTGTGATCGCCGTTCTCCAACCCTTGCTTGGCAATCACGACTACGAGCCAAAGCCAAGGTTCCTCGATCTGTGGTCGTCGGCGAGCGACAAGGGCGGTAGCGGCGCCGACATCCTCGCGCGCGCCAATCGTGCCATGCTCCTGGAAACGAGCGAATACCGGCACGACCTCGTTGGCGGTAC